CCCGCCCCACGGCAGCAGCTCCTCGCTCCTCCTCGACGCCCGGTCCTGGGTGTCCTCCCCGAGATGTACAGCACTCTGCGTTTCACAGCATCACTTAACTCTCCCCAAGGGGCTTTCATATCTCGGGTCAGTTGAAAAGCCAACGTCTCTTGCCCTGCTCCCAGCGTAGGGTTTTCCGGGGCCTGCCGTTCTCGGAGTGGGGATAGCGCAGATCTGTATTTTTGCCTTTTTTCTAACCAGCGCACTGTATCACTATGCCAGATTTATCACGTTAATGTTTTTTGTAGACATTGACTACTTGAAACTCAAACTCCAATGAACAGAATTGCTAAGAGATGCCTTTTTTGCTGATCCTGTGATTTGTTTTTTTTTTTTTTCTTCCTAATGTTTAGTGCAGATATTTAAAGGTTTGGAATAAAGTTATATATAAAACTGTAAACATTACAATTGTAAATAAACTGTATATTTTGAAAAATAAAACCTTTTAAAAAGGGCACGGCTGCGAGCATGGGTGAATGTAGCATGCAGGTACCACCCACCAGCGTGGCATCCAGGCACAAGATGGGCTTTTCGGAGGCTTTGGAGCTTGCGTTACACCCAGCTGCGGAGCTGGAGATGGTTTTTCCCGGGCGAGCAGCTCTCCTTGCGCAGGAGAGCCTCAGTGAACAAGAGTGACCTGAGTTCTCATTACCTGGAAGCTGGCCAGGGCTGTGGTTCCCTTTCTTGATTTCTCCGAAGTTATGCAAGGGCGTTACGTGCTGCCCTGGGCTTCCCAACATCAGGCCGTCTTTCGGATGAGCTGAGACGCTGAACTGCAAAATTTCCTGTGCTCCCGGCAGAGGTCAGACACCATTTCCTGCACTCATGCGCATGGATGGCCCCAGGCTTGCGGGAACCTGGGAATGGTGATCAGCACCCTGTTTCATCACTTAGTTTGATGCTGAGCAGTCCAGGAGCTAGTGACAGCAGGAAGGTCACAGCAGGGACAGGAGGCATTGGAAGGTCCCAGAGGTCTCTGGCATTTTACTGTCCAATATCCCTCGTGTGGGGACGGGTTTGGTTGCTTGTTGCTCAGCATGGAAAGGCCAGCAGGGTGCAGAGCTGGTGCAAAGCGTGTGGCAGGGCCTTGGATAGGCCCCATCATGGCTGGTGGGAAAGGGGGTGCAAGGTCCCCTGAAAGCACCACGGGCCCTATCGTCCAGCAAGCGCCGTCCCCCGCCGAGCCAGCACGGGCAGCGCAGCAAACCCCCAGCCCCTTCTCCCTCCCGGTCTCTGCTGTGCTTCCTGCGTGCAAGTCCTCCTGCTACGTAAAAACTGATGCAAGCCGTTTGGGGCTCCCACGGGCGCCAGGTCTGCCTTGTCCCCTTCCTCCACCACCGAAAGCAGCCTTCCTGGAAAAGCGTGGCTGCTCGGGGGAGCCGGCCCGCAGCTGAGGGCAGTGCGAGAAGCCGCGCAGGCTTGCACAATGCCCCTTCCGCCACCCGCAGGAAGCGCGGCTTTGGGGAGACACC